GATGGCCCAAGTGGTTAGAGCGCGAATTTACTGACCGGGAGGTCCGTGGTTCGAATCCGACCTCCGCCACTCGACTTCCTCTGTCTAGGCTTGGGCAACCTGGCAGTATCGCAGCCCTCGTGCTTCCTTCGGGTGGCATGGCGGCTAGGCACCGGAAGGGTGCTACAGCTGAGCGCTTTGTATGGTAGTTGTACCGTCCTCCTCGATACGATTATGAAGGCGACGTGTCCCTATTTGTGGAAGCAGCGATACTGCCTTCCCCGAGAAAAAAATCTTAGCTGTAGCATCCTTTCGGATGGGTTAGAAAAGGTTGGCCCTAGAAACCACCCAATGGTTAACCGTGACCGCGGGCGCACTATTAAATATGGTGGAAATACTTTCGAAACCAAAGAGTCTGGTGCTGTTCGAAAGACACCTGCTGTACGCAGCCGCATCAGAAGTGAGAGAGTAATGCCTTACTCCCTGCCCCTTGTATCCGAACAGGTCGTCGGCTCCGGGCAGAGTTCCCAAAGAAAACTCTATCAACTGTTGCATCTCGGTTCAGATTTCCGCGTCAGAGGCTAGGGAAAAGCTCCCCGAACGAAGCCCTGCATTCTTCCTCTTTCCCCGTAAGAGGCTCAAGGTGGAGTACGTCAACTAAATCCACTTCATCCTGATCAACCAGGAAGTATCATTTTCCCATGTAGCTCTGCGTTCGTCGGTCCTCTCTCCACCCATCGATTGGTCCACAGCGGTCAACCCATCTGCCAGTCCTTTAATCACCGTGAAAAATATCCTACTGAACTTGAAATCCAGAGACATTGTCCACGTTACAACCACCAATATCCGTATATCGGGCATCATATGCTGAAATCGTGCTTCCCCTCTCATCGATGTAGTGTCTCTGAACTACACACAGGGCTCGAATTCAGTCATGGACCTGAAACCACTTAGGACGAGCTCGGACTTTCCATATTTCGCTCTTCAGGTATCTCGTGGGCTTCACATGCCACATGGTGTGTACTGGGTGGGACGGAGGCTGCGTGATACTTCCTGTGTATAGTCGGTGACGCTGCAAGTTGTGGCTGCTGATCAGTGTCACAACTCAGTTTCCATTTCAATTTATTAGCTGTAAACCATGTACTATAGGCCCATTGGTTCCAGGTGCTACAGTTTCGATCACCGGAAAGTGGGATAGTGTGGGGGATACAGTCAAGCCTTGGGGATGATGGTATGTTTGGTTGACTCGGGTACTGGGTACTCACGCAATGAATGAGATAGCTCTGATGCGTGACCGTGCGTGACTACGTGAGGTCTCCAACCATGGACGCGGCAGGTATCGGCTAAATTCAGTTTACTGGTTAGCGTTTTCATACTTGATTGTCAGGTAATACACCGTCCATCTCTCGGTTGCTTCCACTCAGCTGGGCAAAAAGAGCTCTGCGGGGTAGACGGTCTTCTGGCATGCGGAGTACATGTCCTAACCAGCGTAACCTATGAATGTCGCGGGAGAGTTTCTTCTTCCTAGGGCCATCTGCCATACCTCAGCATTACAAATCCGATGTGCCTACCAGACCGGATCAATGCTTCGGAGACACCGATGATCAAACACTGACCTGCGTATGTCATCTGCGGGTAGTGGCCACGTCTCTGACCCATAATGCAGTATGGATCGTACCGCTGCTGTGTAAACTCCGCTTTTTACAGGCATACTGATGTCACATCGGCACCTTAGTTATCGGAGGCTGACAGGGGCTGCCCTGGCCTTCCTGGTTCGATATGTAATCTCACCTCAAGCCAGGTCACCGGGACTTATGCAACTGTCCAGGTAAATACATTTACCACGTCGATTGGTTCGTCTGCAAGCATGAGGCATGGGTTTGATCCCATCCAGTCTTTCACCTGCACTTAAAATTTGCATGTATGAAGTGCGTATGAAACCGTGGTTCTTCAAAATGATTCGCATTTTTGAAGGATCTGGAACACGGACAGCGATATCATCCGCATACGTGATGTCTGTGAATGAAACTCCCGAGAGTGTTTCGATTCCCTGGGTTTCAGAGGCAAGCAGAGAAATCTCAAACAGCACATCACTAACAAAGTTGAAGAGAAAACGCTCAAGAGGATGGCCTTGTCCTACACCATTGGACGTAGGGATCTTTGGTGGCAGTACTGTATACTCGCACGCGCCCACAAGAGTCCGCGTAGAGTGCCCGCATAAGGGATATAAATTTGGAAAGGACACTATTGATCGTCACACACTTCCAAAGTTTTTGTTGTTCGACAGAGTCAAAAACAGCTTTCATATCAAGGAAAGCAACCAACGTAGGACCTCTAAAGGGATGGCACTATTCAAGAATTTGTCTCAAGGTAAAGATGTGGTTAATGCATCCTCGGCTTGGGTGAAGCAAAGCTTGATTTTCACGAATCTGTCCCTTCCCCAATAATCGATCAACCTGCGTAAAATAAAGCCAGGGAGCATCTTGAATGCGACGGACATCAGGCTGATACCACGATCGTTTCCGCATGACGTTCTTATGCTATTTTTGAAAACTAGGGTGACCGTCGAGGAGCTCCATTCGGCGGTTTTCGTCCCAAATTTTCTTCCCGGTATGGTCGTCAGATTGTTCACCAGGAACTCACAACCATTGAAGAGCGTGGGATGCAGACCATCCGCTCCGGGTGCCTTGTTGTGTTGTAGGATCGCTATATCACCCCGGGTTTCTGTTGTTGATAGCGGACTGGTGTCGATGTTTCAATCAGGCCCATCGGGTTCTCCTAGCGGTTGCGCTGAAGGAGACCAGCTGAACTGTTCTTTGAAGTGCTCAGCCCACCACTCAAGATGACGATTGAGGGAGTGAATTGCCGCGCCGTCTTTTTCGCATATTGTTTCGCTAACGTCTTTCTTTTGACTGGTTGATCTATTCAGCCTGCATTGAAAGCCTTCTCCACCCCCTGGGCCTTAAATCTACCAGTGTTCTCTGTCATTCTTCAAGCTCCTACACCATATCACCCTTCAGTATCCATGCTGCTCGCACCCAGTCCATCTCATCCCAACCTATGCGGTGGAGACTCAGCAGTCCTCGACATTCCACATACGATCATCACCATATCCGTGCTTTTTCATTCACTGAAAACACGTAGGCCGTAGGCTTTGATGATTCCATAGTCACAGTCCGTCGGTCGTAAAGGTGAATCGAGGGCCTCTTTATCATCTAGTCTTTTTAGGAGGCTTCGGATGTACGGGTTGTCTGTTTTTAATTTCACTTATTAGTGTTTGGAACTATCATCTCACGGCGTCTCTGGATCACTTTGATCCCACTGCTGTGTTCCGTACACCAGAGGGAATTTGCTGGAGCGCTACACTTGTCTTCTCTGGGCCAGCTTTCGAGTTCCTTTTGGTATATCGCGACTGAGTATAACTTCAGTCTTGTTTGTGCCCGTGTAACCTGTGCTGATGGTGAGGACAGGTGACTTGAGGAAGTTTCGTTGTGATCCTTCTGTCACTTGTCGTCTTCGGAAAATATCATTTAGTATCGTGTGAACTGACTGATAAGCCGAGTGGGTCCTATGATTCCGGCGCTGTAGTTCTGGACTTGTTCGAGTATTCACAATTGGACTCTGGAAGTTGAACTTTTGACCTTTCATTTTTTTCACATCATTCTACGTGTTTCCAAACTTTTCGCACACCAGTTACGGACGTATGGATGCAATAATCGAGTGGAATGCACACCATAGCTCCCAACTTCCAATACAGTCTGGCTTGCCCAGAGCCCCATATGTTATCTGTAAACATTCAGTTCATCGCCAGCTACGATGTGAAACGCAATTGGCCAGTCTGTTCCCGTCCCCTTTTCTGATCATAGGGGAAGTGTCTTTTGCCTATTTCAGGTTGGCTCTAGCAATTAGGGATGCCAGGGTTTCGTGTCCTTCTGTCGCAATTTGTTAGACGCATGTTACGGGGCTTTCATGTGAGGAAGTCCCTGTCGAGCTATTTTTGGAGGGGGATAAAACCTACTGGCCAACCTCCACTCCAGTCCCTTTACGGGGTTTGCTAGATGCTTACCCACGGACACAAGCCACCGGTGTTAATAAGGTTTGTCGCATCGCTGCCCATTCACCAACGATGCAGTTGCCTACTGGATGGAGTGTTTGTGCTTGTCCTAATCGGAGATATGCCGAATGCATTGAATGTACACGGTGCCAGTGAGCCAAGTAGAGGTGAGACAGATATCCACTACTTCACTGATTATGACTCATGCATCGCTTATGCATTCCAACTGTTGCCCTTAATGTATAGCTCCTCTCTCTATTTGTCCAGCGAAAAGTCCACTGACACGCCTGTATTTACGCGTCAATTTTACCAGCTACTTCCACTTTGTAGCCATCTACCTCCTAGGCAACTTATTGGATAAAAAAAATTGTGGAAAGCATAACCACTGGACGGCGTGGGCTCTGTTTTCACAGCTGCTGCTGATGGTGATGATTATGACTAGGTAAAACTGTATAAAAACATGATTTTAGGGTACCACTGCCAGTTTGGAGTTCATATATCTTGTTCCGCCCAACACATCCTCCAGAGGAAAGTGTTGGCCAGGCCAACACGGGTCAATGGAATATATGGCGTTCTGGCAGTCCTATATAAGTGATATTTTGTTTATTTGACGGTGTATTAGAGTGCGCCTGACTAGTCTCTTACACATCCTGAATGTGATCTTTTATTGTCGGATCAGCAGGTTGTCGTAGGGCAACGTGTAGACATATATATCGGCATTTTTTGCATCCCCATCCACACGGCCATTAAGGGCGCTTCTTTTAAACCCCACTAACCCACGGTAACTTCGAGTGGTTTTTCACCTGTAAGTTATTATGACTTCTTACTAGCTCTTTGTCTCGTTTTTAGATTAAGGACATGTCCCTACCATTGAACTGTATTCTCATCTGGATTCAACCAAACTGAGGTGGTTCAATCTGAAGCGGCACGATGTGCATGGTCGTGCCTCTCTACTCGCCAGGATAAGCGATGTGCATACCGGAAGATCATGGTGCTGCTTCCGTATCTTCTGTCCACGGCATTTACAACCGGAATCCTGTTTTATTTTCGATTCAGTCCTCGTCTTCATCTCGACAGTTATCTTTGCTTGAAACAGCCAATCACACACCACTTCAGGTGCTCTCTCGTGCCTTCTCAGCTCTAGGATATCCAATCTACCAACCGCCACCTATACTCAGTATTGACTCTCGCAAACCGAGATCGTCATACGCCTATATTTTGCTCTTTTTGTTCCTGTGGCGGATTAGTTGTGTCGCAGGTACCGGCAGAAGTCCAGGAGTGAGTTCTGACCCTCGTCGTCGGCCTGCAAGTAATTTGGCACCAAACACCTCACTACTGCGGTATTCGTCCACGCAGATGCCTCCCAATTCGAACGTTTTTTGGACGGTGGATGATCCAAATGGTCACTTTCTAGTCGCCAAGTATCAGGCACGCAAACTCCAACGGAAAGTTCATGCTGCTACTGATTTACCTGAACCGAAATCACTAAATTCGGAAATGACGGATTTCATTTGCTACCGGCTGCCCGATTCTTGTGCTCGAGCTGCCTATCTTCGTCAGCATGTGAGGCATATATTGTGTCCAGAACTACCGTTGTTATATATTCTTCCCTATATATCACACTGGATCAATCGCTCGGATTTCACTTTCATTCCTCGACATAGTGATTGTGATGGAGGTCTTCGCAATCTGGTATATGCGAAGGCGGATAGTGCGTTCGAACCGTGGCTCAGTCCGTCATCAACCTGCGAACGCAGTCTTTCTGAGCTCGACCGACTGCTCTGGGAGAGATTGCATGTGGAGATAAGCAACCTTGAAGGAATACTTGAACATTCCTTTTGCAAAACCGTCTCATGTACAGATTCAAATGAGGCTGGAGAATTTTGCTGTGATAAATGTTCGGTAAGTTCGGCCCGTTCTACCTTTGTCTTCTGCACATTTTTCCTTCCGTTGTTACTACGTTTACCGTCTTTTGCATCTTGTCTTTTTCTGGTCGACGCAACATGACTCGTCCTATTGTAATCACACGTCCGGAGGATTGTGGTAAGCTAAGGAAACATCTTCATCCACATAATGCGAACATAATCTTGGGTGACAAGTTACTGCTTGTAAGCCAGCCTCAGGCATATCGCTCTCCATGCGCTTCAGTTTATGACATGATCCATCTAGCGCCGACCATGGAGTCTCCAGAGCTTATTTAATGTTTTCACAAGAACTCAAGTGTGACGTTAATCGGAGACCCCTTGGTCTCTTGGAGCAAGCGCCAACTCCTGAAAATTGGCGGCCGAAAATTGCAGACATCTGTAACGCGGCTGTTCGATTTAACACATACTTAGTGTGGAGGCGAAATGTCTCAATTGGCTAGAGCGCGAACTGAGTGACCGGAAGATCCGTGGTTCGAACCCGATCTCTGCCTCTCGACTTCCCCTGTGTAGGCTTGAGCAACCTGACAGCATCCCAGCCCTCATGCTTCCTTCGTATGGCGTGGAAGCCAGGCACCTGTAGGGTGTTACAACTGAAAGATTTTTCCTACTGTCATTTTGCTGAACTACTGAGGCGTACGCCGAACGGTTTTCGAAACCCTGGTGTTCAAACCGCTGCTGATACGAACCTTTTGGATCTGGAGTGCGCGGGTGACATCGTCCTTATCTTTGACTACGAAGTCCAACCACAAGCTCTGTTGAATAATCGGAAGATCTTGATACCATGTAGCGGCATGCGCCTTACACCTACAATGTGTAAAGTCATGCCTTATAATGTGCATGCCGCCTGCAACTCAAGGATTATCACTGGAGATTGTGGAGACTTTAAGAAACCTAGGAAGTGCGTCTGATGAGGTCAGTGCACGAATATCGAAGGCCCAAATCAAGTTTGTTAATTTGCGTCGGTTGTGGCGTCACTTGTGTTGCTTGTCGTTGGATCTCGAGGGTCGCATGTGGCAGGCCACAGTAAGGTCTGTATGGTTGCATGATTGCGACACATTGCCTGTGCGGGCAAATAATGTGATGCGTCATTGGGGTATTGACCTCCAATATCTCAGGAGCGTTGCTGGTGTTGGATGGCTTCGACGAGTTCATAGCGAGGCAAATGGAAACCTGGTGATTGGCTATACATCAGGTGGTACGTCAGTGGTGGAAAACATCTATCATTACCAACTGCGATGTTTTGGCCATATGCTGCGCATACGGAGTTATGGTCTACCGAGGCGAGTCTTGTTCTTTTTGCCTCTTTCACAATGGCGCAAACGGCGAGGTGGATAGTGTGTGACTTAATGGTGTTTAAACGTATTTGATGTAGTCCTGGGGATTTTATCCTTTAAGTCGGCGAAATAGCTTGGTGGTTAGCGCGCGAATTCACCAACCGGAAGGCTCGTGGTTCAAATCCGACCGTTGCCTCTCGATTTTCCACTCTAGGCTTGGGCAACCTGGCAGTATTCCAGTCCTTGTGCTTCTTTCTGGTGGCATGGCAGGCACAGAAAGGATGCTACAGCTTAATGATTTTTTAATCTTTTAATTGAACGCTATGCTGTTTCTATGCTGTTTGTAGTCATTAGCAGTGCGTATCCCAGTGTGTTTGCAGTGTTTCGAACCCGGGGCCTTTAGGCTGGTTGTTTGAAGAGAACTCTTGAACAACGATCGGTTGATCAAAATAGCGACCAGCTCGGCCCTAGACGGAATATAACACCAGTCACTCTTCACTCATGAATTCCATGGTCTTCCGTTTTGACTGACTCCTCAAATTTGCATCCTCGAAGGATGTTTGTTTCTCTGAGCTACTCATGGGTTGTTTCTACCAGACTTAAGGACTGCTCTGGAGACCCCGATGGTTGAACACTGAAAGTTTTTGAACGCCCACAGTGGACAGGTTTCTGATCCATGAAACAACTTGGGGAACACCGCGACATTGTGAACTTGAACCTTGGCAGATAAGCTGACGTCACATCAGTGTCACAGAACATTTCGACCTCACAGGCAGTGTTTTCCATAGCTATTTCTTCCGAATAGTAAGGTTGAAAGCGAACAATCTTGCTTGAAACCGCTATATAAATTGGACTCGGGTGAAAATTCTCGTAGATCTTCACACGTCTGCGGGAGTTGATATATAGTTTCTTAAGGAGGATGTAGAACTTACGGGGGAAACCTTTGCCCTGAAAACACTGCCACACTTGGAAGCACCCGGATTGTAATGTGTGGGATACTCTCTCACCGTCTGATATGAGGTGATAAGGCAAGCAATTTGTGTACTAGAGAGCAACCCAGATTATTTCACTACTCTTCATTCTTCAGCCAATGGCGCCGACATGCTGCATAATGTCCGAGTCATCCCAATTACCATTAGTGCAGCGATTGGTTTTTCAGGGTAGCCATGATCGTTTTCATCAATGCAAGCCAACGACTGTAATGGTACCCAGGCAACTTTAAGCTGTCAGTTATTGTGTTGCGAAGACTTTCACTGAGCAATGTGAAGTTTGCTCGTTGACCTTGATCTGATTGGTCTGTACAATGGTACTTTGTGCTTAGGTGTAATGTCTGTAGTGGAAACTCGGATAATGGACAGCAAACGTCTTATACAGGTTCCAGCTTTCATAGGCTTCATTGCGGGTAAGGCGTCCTGTATTAGTTGCATTGCAGCATACCACATCATGAAGAAGCCATTCAGCGACTTCTACCGGAGCTGTTCAGTTTCTCTGGTGTTTGCGGACAAAAATTCCCGGAAGACAGTGAAGCGCTTTGAGCAATTATTATATATATATATCGGTAGCTAGTATTCAATGGGACAACATAAATGACAGACTGGAACGTGAAGAATCCTACAACACCTGGTTACTCTGTTCTGTTTCAGTCTTACCGAACGGTTCCTGTGCGTCGGTTTGCCCGGTTTTCTTTCATTGATATGAATAATTTTCCCTTTCATGGTGTGGTGTATTCTATTCCTAGTTTTCTCCTCTCTTTTATCTCTTCTGTACTATTCACACAACTCGCACAAACCTTTTTCCGAATATAGTGGGTTCACAACCTAGTTAGAAATGTTGCGGATTCTCAAGACGGTTAGTTTGTTGAGCTTTTTATAGATAATTCATTTTCGCCGTGTGATTTCGGTTACATTGTATAGTAACCCTTCGCACTAAGGACAATTACTTTGAATGCTACAATCTATACAGAGATAACTGAGGACGCTACTATGGTCTTAACTTTCAAGACCGCCTTGTGTATCATAATATTTTCCTTTGTAACAAATTAGGTTCATCATTTGCTGCCGGGATGACATGCTCCCATCAGCTATGGGTAGTCGTTCACTGTAGTGATCGGTATCTATTTAACCGAGCTAGTCTGCACTCGTCAGTGCTTCTGATCATTGCTCCACCCGTACGACATTGCAGGTAAATATATTATGTTACGCGGGCGCATAAACGACTGGCCTCACGTACCTCTCTGCAGTTGTATGTGGTAAGAAAGCCTGGTGTGACATGCGAATGCAGAAAGCTCCATGAAAGCGCTCCCACTGACTCTACCGCTTAGTGTTAAACCCCGTTTGAGCAGACCGTCTTTTAAGGTGTGACAGACAGCATACTGGACTCGTAGATGTACAGCAAAATGCTCCTTTTTATGCCTGTGGTTGAAGGATCCCTACTGCCATACGGTTCAATATAGTCATGCTATACTAGCTGCGTGAGATACGGAAAAGAGCGGATTAGTTATTTCCTTTCAACAAGAAGAAGCATGTCGCAGCTGGTTGGTCGCATGCCTCAAAATTTTGTGTCACCGAAGTGGTAGTGAATAAGTCAACCAATTGGCCTTCTTGCGTTGTAGGATGTGGCGGAAGAAGTCTCTGCATGCGTGGATTAATTCATTTTCAGGTCCGAGTTTAACAAACTTTTCAGTCAAAATGGCTGGTGCGTGTGTGCGCGCTTGCGTGCGTGGATAATTCGTGGCGTCCGGATGTGTCGATGGACGCACAACACACGCGCGTAAAGTCTGATAATCGATTTGCCAAGGCTTTGCTCATCCGAGCACGAAACGTTGGTCACGTCAACAACATCATCATCAACAACAACAACGGTTAGTTCGTATCATCTGTACCCCCCAACTGGCAGCGGAAACTGGTAGTGTGTGCATACGTGCGCATTTGTGCGTATGTGATGCGTTTGAACGTACTGCCTTCGGTAGCCGGACGTTTGATGTCGGCGTAGCTTTATGAATACATTGCCACAAGTGTTTCATTACGTTTGTTAGCATTTAAGTCTTTTGCGGTCGGTTACGGCACTAACTCGGAAGTGGACGACGAATCCTGTCAGTGGTGGTCACGTTACCGTTCGAACCATGTAATCCCCAAGATAGAACGCTGCAGACGGTTATGTCTATCGCAGATTCTCCTTAAGCTGAACCAAGGAAAATTCTGTTTTCAAACAGCTGCAGGTATACAACTAACCGTATCTGTCGCTCGATTTCGTGCGCGTTTCATTCCTTACCGAGGAAGCCATTGGTGATGCCAGTTGCTGCGACCAATTCCTAACGTTGTCAGTTGGAACAGGATATATATAATAATAGACAGAAAACCTTTGAAAATTGTGCAGTGATTCCAGATTTACCCTTTAGTACTTAGGGCCATCAAAGCGCTGTGTGGCATGGGTTTGATTAACAGTAACAGACTAGAGGGTTTGGAGGCCAGTTTGATGGCACTTAACGTTTAGCCCTGGTACCACTAACCTATTATAAGGTGGAAACGCTTCACCACTTATCCTTTTCATGTATGCATTTCTCTGACACTGGCATTTGAGTTCAATTTGTTCCAGAAATACTGTCGCGGCGAACATATAGGACGTCTTCTTGATTTTATTGCCAGAGTAGTGATTCAGCCTGTGGTTCATCTAAGGTCCTGTGCTTTCTGTTTTTGGTCTGTCGAATAATGTTTGTCCACTTTCTGGCCCATTCGTCCTTTGGTGAAGACACCAGTCCACGGGATGTTCTTTTCAGTCATTTCTGTCCTACTTCGTAAAGGAGCTCTTCCCCAGGCGACATTTGACTGGCGTTGTCGTCTGGAATAACAACAATTACTTATACGAGCCCTATGTGGCTTGTCGCTTCGGACCTGTGGGTCGAGATACCAGCCTTTTGCTTATCAGACGAACGACAGTACATATAACATAACCAAATATCGCTCTTTTTTCATGTTCAACTAATCGCTGTCCAATATCAGTGGTCGTAACGGTGATGCTAACTCAGACACTCTCCTCCATCTGTCATCTATAATATGGGATATAGACGCGGGCAGACACGCACCTCTCGAACGGGACTCAAACTTGCGATTTAGAATCCCCTCATATTTCTAAATTTGGTGAATATGAGACATCTGAATAAACTGCTCGGGCAATGACATCCTGGATTTTTCTTGCCCATTCTTCTAGGACTGTTGTTGCGTAATGCTAGTCATACGTACTTCGAAGTACGACCTTTTATGAGCGAAATTCGTGTGACCACGTGGTGTTCATCAACGAATGATCCTTGAAACCGGATGGGCCATATCACCATCAGTTTCAGATCTAGTAGTCACCGAGGGTCCATCATTGCCTCCTGGTCCTTTTGGATCACATGTATAGACCACGATCACGCACTCATCTCTTGTCGCCTTCCATTGGGCCGATCCCGCTTGATCATTAAGAAGCTCATGGAACCAGGAATCATATGAAGTTAGCAAAAGCGAATCCTCAAATGTCTGCTGAGTGACAGATTCTCATCATAATCCCTCCAACTCGACACTAGGTAAAACTGAGCGTCCACCGAGACTGCGGATCTGGTAGATACAGAAAATCGAAGTTAAAGCTAGCGAAAATTACTGGGAATGTTTGCAGTTCGTTCCAATTGAATCGATCGACAGGTCTTCATAAGCATCCTGTCAGTGAAAGCACTAAGGATCACAATGTCTCTCCAATATCCAGCAAAGAAGAACGTTTGGATCGATCAGCAGAATACGTCGGGTAACAATCCATGTGGTCACCTGCTACTTTCACTCTGGGTTGTCGGCGTTTGACAGAAACGTGTGCTGAATATGAGACTCCACTCAGTCTTAGAAGTTTGCGAATCTATATCCTTACTGAAGTGTCAACGTGTTCCTGGTTCCACTTTCCTCTTGCACGATTCAAGGATTGCAGGGATTTGCTCAGTCAGTATCCGTCTAGTCCGGCGAAATAGGTCATCCTAAACAACAAGAGTAAGCCGATAATAGTACCAATCTCCTGAAGGAATGCCCCTAGCGAACGCGTAATTATACGGGTGTTAGTTCGACTCCTGTTTTAACAAGGTTTCTGTCGTCATGAATATTTCTTTCCCACAAGTCGGCACGTGAAACCTTGAACCATGAATATCAAGCGGAATTTCGACCGAATGGACGCTGCATCGACCACATCCTCAAACTTCATCAGGTGTTAAAGTAATGCCATACATACAGACGACCCTCACCCTCAGTGTTCCTTTACCTCATGAGTGCCTTAGATTCCGTAGACACGTTAATGGTTTCAACGGCATTTATCTCCTTCATTCACATCTCTCCGCACATGTGGTCGTATACGTGGAACCCTCTAAAAGCTTCTCTATAAAGTGGTTTCCGGCAAACATGTCCAGCTTCCATTCTTATTCAACTTCGTCATTAATGAAATAATGGGTGGAACGCCGAACGGTTTTCGAAACCCTGGTGTTCAAACCGCTGCTGATACGAACCTTTTGGATCTGGAGTGCGCGGGTGACATCGTCCTTATCTTTGACTACGAAGTCCAACCACAAGCTCTGTTGAATAATCGGAAGATCTTGATACCATGTAGCGGCATGCGCCTTACACCTACAATGTGTAAAGTCATGCCTTATAATGTGCATGCCGCCTGCAACTCAAGGATTATCACTGGAGATTGTGGAGACTTTAAGAAACCTAGGAAGTGCGTCTGATGAGGTCAGTGCACGAATATCGAAGGCCCAAATCAAGTTTGTTAATTTGCGTCGGTTGTGGCGTCACTTGTGTTGCTTGTCGTTGGATCTCGAGGGTCGCATGTGGCAGGCCACAGTAAGGTCTGTATGTTTGCGTGGTTGCGAAAAATTGTCTATTTGGGCAAATAATGTAATGCGTCATTGGGGTATTGACGTTTCGGGATGTTTATGTTGTTGTTGTCTCGGGAGCGTTGCTGGTGTTGGATGGCTTCGACGAGTTCATAGCGAGGCAAATGGAAACCTGGTAATTGGGTATACATCAGGTGGTACGTCAGCGGTGAAAAACATCTATCATTACCAACTGTGATGGTTTGGCCATATGCTACGCGTACGGAGTTATGGTCTACCGAGGCGAGTCTTGTTCTTTTTGCCTCTTTCAGAATGGCACAAACCGCGAGGTGGATAGTACGTATCTTGGCCGAAGGGCGTGAGAGTTTACAAACATCCTGTGTGTTGATACCCTCGGTCTTCGAGGATCGGGTGCGCATGTTCCGTGCGTTAGATGGCATTGCCGATATGGCTTTCTTCCTATCAGCTTCGTTCCAGGTTTTCTGATTGAAGGCTTGGAGCTGTAGGTAGCTCAGAAGGCTTGTTGTGGACTATCACCAGGTCCCCCCGTCATGCAGTGTTTTCTCTTCAGTAAGGCTTTAAATATAATTAGCTAGGTATTTTGGATGTCTGGCAGTCAAAAGTCGGTGCGAACATTGGTGTAGCTGTCGCCAGTGGTAGATCCGAATACCAAACGTAAAAAGCTATCTGGAATCACGTAATACAGCAATATCCAGTCCATCGAGATTCAGATTGTTTCCTCTCATGTCCCATTTTTTCTGCTCGTGTTACACGCTTCGTAGACGGGAATCCTTATCTCGATAACCTCGCTGTTTGGCCTTCCGCTCGCCTTTGCTTAACAATATCCTTTAGTTCCTCTTGTGGTATTAACTACCAACGTTCAGTTTTTAAACAATTGATCAGTTGGCTTGAGCTCCAGATCGCTTAGTAGTTAAGACGTGAAGTTACTGAGGAGAAAATCCGTGGTTCGATTCCTCTCGTCCGGTCTTAGACAACTAGTTTGTATCTGAGTCGTCTAGCTTCCTTTATTGTGGCGTGGCAGCTAGACACTGAAAGAATGTTACAGGTGAACGGTTATTTATTATATTGCATTTGGCTTTCCATCATAAAGAATATTCTCACCAAAGAATTTAAGTACGAACGGTTTCATACCACATTGTGGCTCTTATTATTACTGTTCGTCCACGAACACACATCTTGCTAAATAAACTTTCCGTCAGTCTGTAACGGCTGTTTATGTCCACTTCGCAACTTGTGGGCTGCGTCCTGTTTGGTGCTTGTTTTTGTACTCAAGTAGCTTTTGCGTGATCCAAGCTGACTAACAAATTAATGAAAACAGTGCTTTCGGTGCCTAACAGCCAGACGCTGGACAGAACTAATGGGCAGTCCGCTCAGACTCGTAGCTTTTCCTCAAGAACTGTTTCAGGCTCTGAGTGCAGTTTAATAGCAACAATCAGCGTGTAGGTCACCGGCATCCAAGAATCGTTTTTGAGCTGCATAATGGCATGTAGACTTCCCAGGTATAGTTTTTCCTAGTTTCCTTTTCGAGGAGTAGGTGGGATTTCGTTAGCCAAATTGCACTGTGTCTCCCGTTGGCTCCTGAGGGACCCTGCGCCATATAGCATCCATAATGTGCTCTCGCGTGAAAGTGCTTGGGAGATTATGTGTTCAGAGGCTTTCCGCTTATCGCAGAATATAACTCAAATGAATCCTGCGTAGATGCTGGAAAGCACTGGTGACGGACAGTCGTGCCTTATTCAGGTACTAACCATGTGCGTTTTAGCCATAATATAATCATAAGGTAAGTCGCGACATTTGCGAATGAAATTCAGTGCACTGGTTTGTAGTGCGTTTGCTTCGCCGGTTTACACGCTTTACCGGCATTCACTCCCCTACTGAGTCGATGGATGCTCTATCCATACATTTATTAGCTCGTTCCGAAGCTCTATGTTGAAAACCCGGCTCCAGTGTGTCACAACTTACTGCAGATAGAATTTACCTTGGCCGCCTGTACT